AAACGTCACAATAAAACACATTTCATAACCATTCCATCATATGAAAGACATTCATGGCCACAATAATGGGTTAATGAACTCATCTTTATTCATGCTGCTTTCATTTGCATTCACTTCTACACAATTAATTAACGCTTCAGCTCCATTGTAAACAAATACAGAAACACACAGTGTATTTGACATTGTGTTTTGTCTCCGAACATGCTATTGCAGTAGCTAATAAAACCACAACGAGCATGTGTGTATCAGGGGGATTGAATTAAATTGTCTACATTTGATATTCCTCCTTGCTCCCTGTGCACCGGTATTATCATCATAATCATCTCAGGGACTATAACATGTTCATTTAGCTGCATGTTTTATTCTAAATGTGCATGTGTGTATGTGAGGCATGAATGCTGTAATTACGGCAGTTTTTGTGATGTTCTCTCTGTGCCCCTTTTTTTTTGTGTGGAGATGAGAGGAGAAAGTGACACGCTCCCTCACATGCTCTCCTCAGGGAACACTTATCAAAACAATACGCCAGCCATCATTCACACACAGCCCTGCATACTTTGCCACTTTGAAGTCTCCCCCGTCCTCTTGTTTTTTTAATCCCCCATTCTCCTTTTTTCTCTCAATGTAATCCCACTGTAACTGCAGGGATTCTTCACCGCCATTTGTCCGTACAAATACAACAATTAATCAACAAATAACAATACGTCGGGAGCCACTGTTTAAAATCCTAAAATGGGTTCAAGTGCTGGCACTGCCATGCTTCCCTGCGTCTGTGTTGCCAATCCCTGTAAAAAGTTAATGTAAGCGGGATTCACAGGGAGCTGCTGGTGATGAAATTATGGTGTAACTGATACCAACGTGCCATGGTAGAGGAGTGCATGGCCGCCTTCGTCTTTGAAGGAGGCTCTTCCCATCCCACGATGCACTGCTGGAGAGGGCTCCTGTATGTGCTTGTACAGTACAAACGGACAGATGGAGGGCAATACTGCACGAAAAGCAAGCAATCGTTTTGCCGCAATACAGAAAAACGGCTGCGAGTTCAGGAATTCATTGTGGATTGCACACAACACTGAAATATGTGGACGCTACTGTAAATATGTATTTACAGTATGGGGGGTTCATTTCATCAGGATATGTAATTTTATGCCAAGGTCACTGAGATTTTACATTTTTGAGATGCTGTGATTTCTTTTATTTCTACAAATCAGCATTTTATAATCAGGTTGTTGGCCTTTTGAGTCAATGAAATAGCAATTACATTAAACATAATACAAAATATGTTAATCATTTGAATTGTTTTGCATGCACTAAATACAGTTAGACATTGGTTTTCCTAGCTTCAGGAAAAATATTTATTTTATCTTTTTATTCTTTTTTTTTTCTTTTTAAAAGAAAATATTTATTCAATTGTATTTATATTTATTGTATTTTATATATTTATTGTATTTTATATATTTATTATATTATATTTATTTATTATATTTTATTTAGATGTATTATTTCTTGGTCTTGTGAATGCCTGTATATTATTACAGTTATTTATTTATTTTTGTTTCTTGAAAATCTAAGAAATAAAGAGTGTTTTTCGATATCCTAGTGTAATAACTACAACATTTGAATATTACAAACAAAATGCGTTCACGACTGATTCGAATAGGTGATTTGTTAGAGGTTAGAAACAGATGAAATATGAAATTGTTGCACGGTTATTGCACACATCACCCCAACTTTCTCCTGATCCCTGCGACCTCGTTTGATTACGATTTAATGCGGCGCATGATGCATAATAAAAACTGCACCGTCTGCAAAAATAGCAAGAGGAAGAGTGTAAACAATGGGGGTGTAAGAGCTTCCGAGGGGGAGGCCATATTAAACCCACGGCTACAGGGGTGCCAAAAAACATGTTTTGATTTGGAGAGGGGTGAGCCAGTGTTGCCTATTACTATAGCAACAAGAAGACCTGGCTGCTTCAATCAGCTCTGGTGTGTCGGAGGCAGAGGATAGGCAGAGCAGCTCCAGCCGGGCAGACATGCAGAGTCCTCCTGGTTTTACTAATGAGGCCTCCACACATCCCATAGTGCTCCTGTCACCGGCCGACACGCTGCCTGTCTGCAGAGGTCAGCGAGCAGCGGCTCAAACAGAGCGACAGCAAAACTGGGACTAACATCCGGCATCACATTACAGAGGGATTTTCAGAAGAACACACACATTTTATTTGGTTTAAATCGCTGTCACCAGAGTGTTGTGTTTCCACTGTCTGTAAACTCTTCTTCCTCTGTCAATAACTTCTACGTCTTTTGCATTAACTTACATGTCTTTACTTGTTTTATTCTTGCAATCATTGCAGCTCTAGCATATCCTTTTCTATGGTTTATTAGAAATGTGTATTTTGTATTTCTTTATTTAAGAAGGGACAATGCACATTAATGAACTTGAGTGCCTAGTCCATCGTGTAAATGTGCCAGATCTAGCCATAGAGGCTCATTTGGATTTTGAAAGTGCAGTTTGATGGCGTTAAAATAAAAGATACGAGCACATAAGCACAGAAAAACACATGAGCACAATGGTAGCACTTAAGCACAGGTAAATGCACATGAACAGGATAAAACACAAAAGCACATACATAAACAAAGATACAAGCAGAATGTATGAAAAACAACGATATAAACCTTACTCCAGTTTGTGACAGTGAGTTGGATTGTCCAGTAACCACTGTTTTACACATTTGGAAAAAGATTTGAGAGATGTCATTTCCCTTAGTTCTGTGGGTACAGTGTTCCGGGTGCTGCCCGAGAAGAAGAGGCTAACGAAGGTAAAATCAGAATCAGAAATCCTTCACTCGCCCTACATGGACATTGTAACAGCAACGGGGCACAGTATAGATCAAAAACCGAAATAAAACAGTATTAAATAAAGAGGCAAGCACATGTCATAAAAAAAATCATATGAGAACACGTTACACACATTAAACATTAATAAAGATCATGTTTTGTGAAGCCTGTTGAATGATAATGAAGTGACGGAGACGAGGATTTCATCACCATAGAAGAGTAGAGAGCCGGGTGATGGTGTACCAAAAGCATGTTTTATATGACACACATACAATTTGAACTATTGGCAGACCAATTGAAGCAATTTGATAGATATATATTTTTTTAACACGGACAGTGCACATTAATCAACATTGCAGTTTCCATCTTCAATATAAATATACCAGAGGTAACTTAAGAGCTGTTTTGTTAAATATATATATTTCTTCTTATTTTTTAAATGTTTAAATTATGATAATACACTTTAGTGTAGTTGTTATTAAATATAATTATATGTATTAAGAGTTTATAAGAAAACAGTATTTGTTGAAATGATATCTTAATTGTTATTAATACAAATGTGTTTTTTCATCTATTTTCATCTATTTTCATATATTACCTGTTACTTAGGCACCTCCACTTATGGTTGTCCACAGCAGTAAACAAGGAAATATATATATTATTACTATATTTCACATCCACATCTTACTGACTTTGCTGACCATTTTGTAATACAATTAGAATAAACAGTGGTGAGGTGAACACAGTGTACTGTAGTGCAGTGTTGATATCTTAACTGTAAATGTGTATTCACACATTCCACTTTATTTTTAATTAAAGATGGTATTTTTCTTGAAGGTTATGTGTTTCAACACATGTGTGTGTGTGTGTGTGTGTGTGTGTGTGTGTGTGTGTGTGTGTGTGTGTGTGTGTGTGTGAGACCTCAGTAATTTGTTACGTGTAAAGAACGATGTGTGTGGTGGCATCGGTTAATGCATTTTTACTCAGATACACCTTTCAGTATACATGCACAGTGGGAATGGATATACAGGGTTTTGTACTGCACTAATATTGTCAAATGAGGAGCTGTATTACTCCTAGGTATACTCTAAATATAAACTGATCAGTCTTTCTCTTTAAATATCAACGAGCTGGATACTGATGATTCACAAACGGACTCTTATGAGTGGCAGAGTTACCTGTGAGCATCTATCTTGTTTTGGATTCAGATCATAGAAGTTACTTTTTTAATCTAACCTCACTGCTCTTTTGAATCCTTGCAGATTCAAATAAAGCATTTTAATCGGTGCCTGTAAGGACTACTTTATGTGTGGAGGTTGCTTAAGTTTCTTCTACTAGCTTCTTCTACTGTACATCTACCAAAAAGGAATATAAGTTAGATACAACTAGGTTAAAAAAAATGAGGATGGGTGAACACAGTGGGGGATTAATAATAAAGTATATCCTTAACTTCAAATTGAACTTAATTTCCTTCAATACGTATATAATGAAGAAATATATTGTGTTAGTCATTACACTTAATAAAACCATTTTAAAAAACAGTCCAACCATCAACACAGTGACATAATATCTATATTTCTTGCAATTTCACACAATGTTTTTTTAAATTATATTTCCCACTTAAGATACAACAAAGTAAAGTGTTTAATATGATAAAACATTTGAATAGAAGCTGTAGAAATAGCCGGTAACTTAATTACTAAAATAAAAAGTTTAATAAAGTGACTTTACTTGGGATTGTATTCAGTGTTTATGTTAGCAGGCTAAATGTTTTGATTCAATTGAGAATCTTAGTTAATCCAGCAATACACTAAGTAACATAAACTGAGGTTAAAGTGGGAACCATTCAGAAAAGCAACATATCTGGAGTTGTTATAAATTTTAAGTGGCTGTCTGTCAGGTTATGATCCTAGTTGTAGGTTATGCTTTATTAACTGGTGATAATTTACAACAAAGCAGTCCCAGGCTGGTGTTAATGTGTAATGATTAGCAATCAGTGGAAGACCGATGGCAGGCCAATAGAAATAAAAAAGTTCCCCTACATAAACCAATGGTGAGGCCACATTGTTACAGCGCTCAGCGAATCCCCTGCGGATCTGATGCAACAGGGCTGCAACTAAAGTTACACCTTCGAACTGCAACATGATGTCCTTCCGCTGCGGCGCTACGAAAACTAGTACCGGTTTCACCGTCTGCTTAATTCTCCCTGATGCTCTCCACACTCTGTCTCTGGTAAACTCTTTAAGGATGTTTAGGGTTTTAATAATATATTCTATGTATTTTTATTATGTGTTTTTTTTTAGCGTGACTGGACTTTTAGGTAAGATAGAGTTCATGCCCATGTTTTTCTGTCAACAACTTTTTACCGGCAGGCAACCTACTATGTTTTAGATACGATATACATTTGTTTGCAATACTTTCAGCATCTAAATAAATCCTTAATACTGTTAAAGCAAAATTATAGTCAGTATGTCATTTTAAATGCATCTTATTTGTACTTTATGTCAATATTACCATGAAAAGGCAACTTGAATAACATACAACTAGTCAAATGAAAGGAGACAATTCAGATGAGATACAATAACAGTGTGTTTATACAGTGAGGGAATGAGGAGATGTTATTTGAGCGTGTCTCTGGGTAATGGGAAAGTCCCCAGGTTCATGACGTAACGGCCAGCTGAACTCTGTAAACTGCGGATGAATCTCGTCTGCTGTGATCCGGTCCGGAGCAATAGGAGTTTGCAGAAGTAGCGGATTTAAAAACTTTCTGTCTGCATTTCTGTTCGTCGAAATAGCACTTGATGAAGACTCCCTGACTATGAAAAGGGAAAATATGGCTTTTTAAACCTCGACCGTCTTCCTCCTCACCATAAAGCTCCGCGTGCTTTGCTCTCGCGACGCACTCCAAGACTATTCTGAAACTATGGGGTGAGTAAGAAGTGCTTTCTGCTTTTGGGGGAAAGTTAGGTGAATAAAGTCTTACTAAAGCTAACAAACCACTTTAGACACTCTTTAAAATAACATTTCATTTAATCCTGAATTTATTTTTGTTTTAACATCTTTTACAGGACTTTATTAGTATTTTAAAATAACTATGTTAAAGTAATTGTGACTTTATTGACTTTACATTTATTTATTTTTTGTTCCTTAATACTGTTTTTAAGTTGACAACTACTACTTACATTCTGAAAAACAACTTTCTATCTATGTATGTATACTTTAGTCTATAATTAGGTTATGAAGGTAGTGCTTAAGACTATATCATGTTTAAAATAATTGCAATGTTTTTTTATTATCTTTTCATGTTTATTGTTTGTTCAAAGTATTTCAACTAACTGTTTTTAGTTTTTTTTGGGAAAATGTTATGTTTTGACATGAATCAGTAATGGCTTCACAGCATGAGGTTACAGGTGCTCACAAATGTAAAGGGTTAAGTTGAACAGAATACACTTTTATAATTATTTTATTTTGTTGTTTTAGCTTTCAAATATTTATATACATTTTTATTTTTTACTTTTTGGGGAAATATTTAACGCTTTATTGGATGGAATTTGAAATGTACATTAATATATATATATATTTTTAACATTTGTTTATTTTCCTAATTTCTTTCCCACAGGTCTTCAGGTGTTTCCACAATTATTTCACCCACCCATTGCATGGTTTTCGCTTTTGAACAATTTAATCGAGGCAGAAGACACAATGGCGGCATCGATCCTTCGCAGGAATATTCCTCCCATTTCCACAAGCGAGCTTGGCGCTCCCCCTCTCCGACAGGCTAGCCATAGCCAATCACGGCCAAGGAAGGGGGCGGAGCCAGCGGAGAGGCAGAACTTAATTGGTGAGTTTTGCCAAGACGCTTTTTTATTTTTCCACATCCCGAGGTCGGAGCCGCAGTGCAGCACGGGGCTAATGTCGTACAGTGAGTACAGCTAAGTGGATATTTATCGAACGCAGACGATGCTGTTCAATCATTTTCAGATGATCGGTTAGTTGTTCACTTGGATTTCTCGGATGTATTCTTTCATTTTGGGCTTATTTTTAATTTGATTTATCCTCTTTGCGTGATTTAAGATTTTTTTCCTAAATTTGTAGTTTTTATTTCAGCTATTTTACACAATCAGCTGAAATAAAAAAAATTGATTGCTTTACTGATTCTATGATTCTTTTTTGATTTTTTTCATAGGTGATGGTCACTCAGATTGGATGACGGAAAAAGTTGATTTGTCTTCATTTGTGTCGACGACCGAGTCTTCTCCCAGCTCATCCCTTCCACCCTCGCCGTTAGAACAAGATGTCAAGGTGCCCTCGGATCTGGAGGTCATGACCTCTCTACTGCAGGAGGAGCTGGCTCAGCTGGAGGACTACTTCCGCTCCGAGACCACAACCACAACAAACAAGTTGGAGAAATCCTCAAAATGTGACAAGGGTGCTCAAGCCATGGGCTCCCAGTCTTATTATCAGTTACCCTACAGCTCGTATGGGACCAGCCAATCAGAAACCAGCCCTGTGGTTGTTACCTTGGCAACAGGGGAACTGGACCTGGCCAGCTTCTGTGGCGGTCCAATCGCCAGAACCAAAATTGCACGACCTGCTCCGTACAACTACCACCACCGCTACCACCACAATAACGGGCGGAGGATCATCAGCGAGGCAGTGAAGGTCGGGGAGGAAGTAGGACTCGATACGTGGGGCTCAAGGGGAAGTTACTCAGGAAGCGCGGAGTTGTCTGTGAACCACTACTCCACGCTGAAGACAGTGAGCAAGAACAGCTTCAGCAACGTCAAGAAGGTGAGAGAATGTGCTTTATCGTTGAAGGAAGAGGAAAGTTATTGTTTTTCCGAGGGAATGTTTTGCAGCGAGGAGATCGCTCGAGGGTTTTGTCTGGGTGGCTCGTACGACAGCCACCACAAGCGCGAAGGACAGTTGCACAATGTGAAGGTCAATGTAAGTTACGACAGCACGGGGCTGGAGGTCTTGCACTGCGGTAAAGATGGAGGACTTTCCGGGGGGATTCCCCAAGAGACAATGGTGGCCGGAGACGGCTACTTCCACCAGGCCATGGCCAGCACGGAGCCTTACCATAGCTTTATAGGGGACCTCGACCAGCCGTCACAGCCTCAGGCTGTGGAGCCCCAACATGGCCACTACCTCTATCCAGAATGCCTTGCAGACCAAAGCTACGAATGTCTGTCCAGAGGGGAGGGCGAGGGGACTCTGATGGGTGCCCCCATCCACCGCCCCACCCAGAGGCTAAAGGATGAGCACTGCTCCATGAAGCCGGCTCTGGTGATGGGCAGCGTTCCTGTGGAAGGCGTCCCCGGAGAGAGGAAGCAGAAGAAGAGAGACCAGAACAAAACCGCTGCTCACAGGTAAGCTTTTCTTTTCTTCTCCTCCTCGTTTTGAAAGCATGCCTCAAAAACGTATACAAATTAGACTTGTAGTCAGAAGTGAAAGTTTGTCAATAGTGTATGAATGAGTGAATGTGAAACTGAACATGGCAGGAGTGTTACATAAAGATTTAAATGTCCTGCAGTGTGTAGGAGGGGAATGGAAACTCCCTCACTGCCTGCCAAATTCAGCCCCACCTAACCATTTATTTAAGTCTGCTCTGTCTGTGTATGAGATGTGAAAAGATAAATATGCAGGAAAAGTCTTAAAGATGATAGTAAAAAGTTGGAAGGAAAAGAAACTGATCAGTTTTCTCAGGGGAGAGATGTCTGTGTGATGTAGCTCAGGGGTCACGCTCACAAGGATCATTAACAAAGATGCAAGGCAGCAGAAATGTGGAACTAAGCGGTCCCTTGTGTTGCAGGTACAGGCTGCGTAAGAGGGCGGAGCTGGACTGTCTGGAGGAGGAGCTGCACGGCCTCGAGGGGCAGAACCGGGAGCTTCGTGACAAGGCGGAGTCGGTGGAGAGAGAAATCCAGTACGTCAAAGATTTACTCATCGAGGTCTACAAGGCTCGCAGTCAGCGGCTCAAAACAGACGGCAGTGCCTGAAAAAAATTAATTAAAAGAAACGCCCACACTGACCTCCGTTTCCAGAACTCCCCAAAAACCAGCACCAAGAGAAAAATCAAGTCAAGACTGGCTTTTTCGTCTCACAGGAATGAAATGGTAGTTGCATGATTTTGATAGTTCTTTTCTAAACAACAACAAAAAAAATATGTTCCAAGAGGATGACCCAAAAAAAAAGGAGAAAGAAACGGGGAAGTTTCCAAACGAGTGACTATTTCTAAGAAGCCTTAGTGAGGTGGAGGAGATGCTGGACTTGTCCGTGACCACTGTGATCCGAACTGCACTCACAGCCTTGCGATGACTGACTCTGTGCTTGCGATGATTTTACAAACTGAATTAGTTAGTAGTGACGGAATATGCTTGTGTTTTTTTTGTGACACACACATCGAGGCAGATCCACGCTAAATATATATTTTATTTTATATTTTTACTTAATAATGTTCATTTATGATTTGCTTTCAACAATCAAATGACTGAAATAAAAGGGATTGCTGGAAATAAAAAAGAGTGTGCTCTACAAATCGGAAACATTTATAGAATTTGCATTGCTAAAATGTTGAGTATTTACACTCTTTTTACCCATTCCCCCCCCCCCCCCCCCCCACTGAAATACCCAATGCATGTTTGATTTTGGAAAAAAAAGCATGTGCGAGTGTTATTTGAAGGCAATATTCTGTTAACTGCATGGCTTCAAGATCTCCAATTTCAACTGATTTCTCATCAGCTGGCGACTTTCCCCTGAGCCCCCAGCCCCCCGCCAGTGTGATTCATGCTCAGGCCTTTTTTTTCTTTCTTTCCCCGCTATGTGAAACATTCACTGGCTTTATTTCCTTTTTTTTTCTTCTTCTCTTGTCTCTTTCGGCTGTATTTCGCGGACAAACAATCACCTGTTGACGCAACAATAAATCGTTGTTGGGTAACTTCATGAGAATGTTCCTTTCAATCGATCAATTTGTCTGAAATTCAGGTCCTTTTACTAATAACCGATGTCAATGTCAGGATATTATACATCAGGAAAATGACAGCCAAATAAACCAAGTTATGTAGTATCATTGATCTCTGCCTTTTGGACTGTTTTTCACTGCATGCTGCTCATTCATTCCGCAGACATTACAACACAACTGTCCATACACTGAAACAACTGAAACGTTGACTTCAATTAAATGTATTATGTCAACAGATTCCATATAACTGTATTAAGTAAGTTGACAGCCAGAGTATAACGTTTAAATAGGTTCAACTTAATATTATTGCTTTCAACTAACCTAATACTGTTATGTGGAATCTGTTGACATAATACATTTAATTGAAGTCAACGTTTGAGTTTTTTCGGTGTATCTCACACCCAAAACAGCAGACACAGAATAAGAGGGGTGGGATTAAGAGATAGAGAGGGGCACTCCCATTACCCTGCCCATAATAACTGCTGCCCTCTTTCTGGGCTGCAATGCAGTTAAAGTTATTTCCCAGGATTCACCGCTGGACGGCAGCACAGCAAGACAGCACTGAAACAACTGAAATGTTCACTTTACCTAAACTGTATTTAAAAAAATTCTTAATTTGGGATTAATAAAGTATATATCTATCTATCATCTATCTATCAGGTTAGTTGAAAGCAATCATATTAAGTTGAATCTATTTTGACTTAATAGTATTGCTTTCAACTAACATTATACAGTTATGTGAAATCTGTTGACATAATTCATTTAAGTCAACGTTTCGTTTTTTTCCGTGAGGTTTTGATTGACATCTGAGCATCAAAACAACATGTTCCCTCTAGACGCAGGAGCTTGGATCGAGGCAACTTCTCCAAACAGAGAGGGAAATGTTCAAATGAAAATACTAATAAGTATCTTTAATGTTTTTGTTACCAATATTTCAGCATTATGATTGAGCCTAAGGGCAGGAGTGATATCAAAACTCCGGCAGTCAACAGACAACATAATTTGCCTATCTCATCTCCCAGCTCGTTGAGGGTGTGTGTGTGTGTGTGTGTGTGTGAGAGTGAGTGTGTGTGTGTGAAATCTCTTGGTATCTCTCCTAGCAGTCGTAGGCCTTTCAAGTGCATGAGGCAATATCACACAATACTTGCAGGAGGAGGAGAGATGCGAGTGAACTATCAGAATAAGAAAGTAGAGGGTTGACAGAGAATGCCGTTAAATCTATTGATTCTCTCTGTTTGTTTGTTTGATAAAGATGCAATGTGAAAACGGATTGTAATGCCGACACACGATTTATAATGGGATGTTGCAGCCTGTTCAATAATGATCTCCGCTATTGCATATTACTCATGTCAGATGAGTTCCATTGATTTGTTAAATAGATGATACAATAACATGAATATAAGGCAGAGAAGTGGGCTAAATGACAATCTAAAAAAGCATATAAATATAGCGAATACATTTAAAATACATGTTGAGGGAAAATGTATAATTTAAAGTTGGATTTATTTAACATTTTAATCCACTAACATTAATACGGAGCCTACTTAATAATATTTACGTCTTGTTGAAACACTAATAACGAGTTATATATTGTTTAAATCATCATAGCTCATAATATCTAAGATGATAAATGTAATCTTAGGATAAAAGCACATGTAAAAACAAGAGAATATGTGGGGAAATACAATGAACAATGTACTATCTATACATTATTTAAATAACATATTTTCTGCCAATTTTTTCAGTCATACATAAAGATAACATAAACCAGAGCATAACATAACTATACAAAATGATAAAAAAACAATTTAACCATCCTGGTCTTTTTCTCCCAAGCTTTTAAAAAAAGGACTACATTGAAATAAGCATACCATTTTGTCATTGACAGATCACTAACACATTACTGGATTTTTAACAGACAGTTATTATAGAATCAGAATTAAGTTTATTGTCAAGTATGGTGCAAAGTTAAATAACTATTTATATATACAAATATATAAAAAACGATTTATCATTTAAAAAAGAAAGAGAAATATTTACATGGAATATAAATATATATGAAAAAGTGAAAATATGACAAAGTACAGTATATTAAAAGTGGAGGGCTGTGTAGATTTTAAAAGAGGTTGTGTTATACAGAAATGTGCAGAATATTTGCTGGGATGTGCAGGGTTCACAGTATTAAACAAAACAAGATTTTGCTCACATGATGTGCATTAATGGGGTGAGTCAGTGTCAATAGATATTGTTAACTCATTATAATAAGGACATCACTGAAGAAAATGTGACCTGCTGTCTTCCTGTTGATGTTTTTAAAGTCTGGCTACTTCAAGGGTCAGGGGAAGGATTCCTTTACAAATAAACACGCTTGATATCCCTTGATACATTTGCTATATACATAAGATTGATTCAGAGCCATAATTGTGCTTCATTACAAATATTTTAATTTTGAATTGAACAATATATGTTCAATCTATCAGCAGAATGAAGCTGTGTAGCCTGTATGTATTCTGACATAGTAAGCAAACAATATAGTATTACCAAGAATCAAATCCATATCACCCAACACATACGAGTAGGATACAATAAAAATAATCATATAAAATATTGTTTAAAACTTACTGGATATGCACATTTGAACACATTTCAAATGAATGGTTCTAGTGAGAGTGGTGGAAATACCGTGTCTACAGGGAGAAGTGAATCCAGTTTTAGTGAGCGCACATATTTCCATTCAGATTTACTGTACAGATCTCTCTCACCACCAGGTGTCCCTCTAAGCTCAGAAAAAGCCACGCACAGCTGTTTCTACAGTAGTCCTGCAACAAGAAATAGTGTGAAAATACCACATTCCAGTACAGATGTTTAGCTGTGTACAGTTTTCTTTCTAAAAAGTTCCAATGAAATCAAAAACTAATTACAGAAGAAGAGGCATAGAAGCAAACAAGGAAGAAAAAGTAGTAGAACACCAGTGATGGAAGAATATAAAAAGCTGTTGAAATACTTACAAATACTTACAAATACTTACTAATACTACAAATACTTTTTGTAGGCGGGATGTCCAATAAAGTGTTTCCACTAAAAGATAACGCATGCAAGAATATTCCCAGGTAGTTTCATCTATAACATGTATTCCATAAAGCAAGACATCTGTTTTGTATGTAAGATCTTATACAACAGGGCAACTACACTAAGCAACTAATAAAAGGAACTGCATTAAAATGGTTTAAGCACTATTTATCTGAACGGTCTCAGTTTGTTAATGTTAACGACAATTTCTCAATGAAATCATAGTCAGTTACCACAGGGTTCTGTACTATGACCTATTCTGTTCACCTTATATATGCTTAAGCCACAATCTTCATGAATCACTTTCATTGTTATGCAACTGAAACCCAATTATATACCGATCAAGCCAGAGGAAACTAATCACATGAAAAAAATTAAATATGCCTTAACTCAGATGACCTAAACCTTTTCAATGTTAAAAACTGAAATATTGTACTCTGCCCCAAACACCAAAACAAATTAGACCCTAAATAAGAAGTGGACGTAGTGTGTTGATGTCTCCCCATTGATTTGTGGACTCTGGTTTTGAAACCTTAAATTGGCAGTTTGGCTAAGGTCATACAGAACATCTTACTTCAAACACTCTCACACTAGGCAGGTACATGTATGTGTCAAGCTGTGAGGTCAGGAATCTAAAAGTTATTATTAATTATCCTAAGTAAACTACCAGTTATTTGAGTTATATCAAGGAAAACCTCAATTGTCAATTGGATCGTGATGCTAGAAGTTAAGTCAGGTGATCGACAATTCCTTACAATACATCCTCTTGGCACCTTTCATTTCTGTCCCAAACTTGGTGACAATATTATTCTTAATATATAGAGTTTTTTTTACTGAGGGACTTAAACCTTTGACATGCTGGTGGCATTTGAGAAAATATGACTAAAATCACGGACATAAGGGACATGGAAATCCTCAGACATCTCACAAAAAACACAAATGTCAACCTTATTGTGGCACCAGTGGAAATGTTAGAGGATCACCAAAGTGTGTAGAATTTAATATCTGGGGACCATGAATGTCATCTTAAAATGTATGGCAATTCTTCCAATAGTTGTTAAAATATTTTAGTCTTGACCACAATTGTTGACCATCATTTCAACCCCTAGAATTTGGATCAAACCGTCTCACTTTGCCAATGTTGAATGTTTTGTCCTTAAGTCATCGAGTGTTCAAAATGAAAAGGGCGCATCCTCTTGAAAACATTTAGTCAATTCCTAGCAAAACCGAGAATGGATTTGGATATTTCTTGTATGGGAACAAAAACAGGACGATTCATTCTTAAATACAAAGAAGCATAAAACAGCTCATTTCATTGTAGTCTAGCTATTACTTTGTGGTATACATTGCCTTGACTCAAAGTGATGGTCAAATGGTGACACATGATAGCAAATCGCTCAATTCATTTCAAAGACAAAAATCATCAGTTGACTTGTGAAAATGCACACAAAAAGTCATGGCAATCTGAACATTATTTGACCAACATATTGATGGGCTTTGCTGGAAAATCAGGAGCTTCATGATTTGCGTGAACTCATTAGGCATGTAGCTGAGTCTTATTGAGAGAACATCGAAATGAAAGCAACTTCATTATTTTTCCTAGAGAAGTCTGACCTCAACAGAAGTCATACTCACATTGTCATTGTATACTGTTTTTGCAGTAAGTACACAAACAAATATATTACTGGAAATGATGCAATACATGCACAGATGGATGTAAACCTAATGGTAACCTTGGAACACTGCTGCTAATTAAACTGAGAAGAAACAGTGAAATAAAGCTTCACAGTTCATTCCTGACCTTGTAAACAAAAGTTGATCAAGGTTTTGTCTATAACCATCCACATTTTTGTAATTTCTTCCTGCCGTGAACAGCTCCTCAATTTCCTTATGCATTGCATTGTGGTCCATCAAAAACACTCTGAAAAACAAGTCGTTGACTGGACTGGGTTTTGTCATTTTCAAGTGTGAATGCAGCTAAAAAACGGCATGAAATTAGTTTTGTGTTCAGAACTGTGGCTTAAAACCCAGTTAATAACCAATAACATGAGGTGTCCCAAATTCCATATGACAACTTCCATCACCAGCAGCATCTATTCATCTCCATGCTCAGTGAAATATTGAAATGGTTGTGAGTATAGATACTGGCTTAAGAAAAAAAGAGGTAATACCAAGGCAACACAGGATCACGTTAGAGCCAGTGGGGGGTGGCGGGGTGGGCAATGTGGGAGAGGGTATGTGATGCAAGAACGGGGGGAAAAGAGAGGGAAGGGGGTGGGGGGGCCTACAGTGAGACTTTAGTAATGGTGGAGAGCAGAGGATTAGATGGAGCTCAGTGTTGCAGAATGGCCTGCAGCTCTGTTTGAGGCTGTGTGTACACCAGCAAGAAGGTTTTAAATATGTTATGAGCAGCATGTGCAGCCAGTGGGGGAGGAACAGTAGGGGGTGGGGGGTAAGGTTAATTCTGCTTGGTGAGTAGATGGGGGGTAGAATAAGGACAGTCTGGGAGAGACCAAACCAGTGGTGCAACTCTGTGTTTTACCAGTACTTTAAAGGGGCCCTGTTATGCTCATTTTCAGGTTTCATAATTGTATTTTTTTGCCTCTATTGGGACATGTTTAAATGCATTAATGTACAAAAAGGTTTTTTCATACCTCTTCTCACCCTCTGTCTGAAACCAGAGCCCAGTCTGATCGAATTGGTGAGCTGGCCAGTTATATTGTGAGCAAAGACAACATTTCGTATCATGTGAATACAGCTTTATGGAGAGATAGGCCAAATAGATAGGACATGATCAGCACTGTGGCGAGTGTTCCTGTTGAAGGCCCTCTGCACACGTCTACAGGAATCAAACTACTGCTACAGCTCTCCGGAATTAAACCCTCAAGCATGTTGCACCTCTGGCCGCACCCATATCATTGATGTCAGAGCGTTTTTTTTTCCTCAGCTGATTGAACGTCACCCAATTTTGATTAAATTGGCTGGGTTCGATGTGTTTATGATTGCTTTTCATTTCCTTTTTCAGCACACAGCATCACCTGTGTGTCATTTAATGTAAGTTGAGCTATAAAATTGCAAATTACATGGTCAAAAACAAAAAAGAAGTGGTGAATTTAGCACATAGTTGGGGATTCTTCTCACTAATGACATGTAAGAACTTTAAGATAGAAATATGTGTGAAAGAGGACAAACACATAGCCAAATCATAAAAACACTACTTTAAAATGATCACGATTGAAATGTTTCTGTGATAAAGCTTCTGAAATGTGTTGTACAAAAAGGTGTGTAAGCCTGACCTGAGTTAATCTCTCTACATCTGGCACATGATCTTGTTTAGTCATAATACTGTATGCATATGTTTCGTAACTGGGTGTCATGACACTGTTTCTCAGGTTATGCCAAAGGTTTGTTCTCCCATCAAACTGTGGTGCGAAGAAACAAACAACTTGCAGCTATTCATCTACCCACGCTGGCCCAGCAAGCACCAACACATCTAGGGAATAGTTGTGTGACACATGAAAGAGGCCGACAGCTTGGGGAATGTTCTGCTTCAATGCTTTGTAATGGAGGAAGGCTTGACATTTAAAGGAAACCTATCATGCTATATTTAAATGATATATTGTAGGGCCATACCTATATAAGGTATATTTATACGTTTCTGTTTTCAAAATACCAAACAGATCATGCATTTTAGCCATGCCTCATTTCGCTCTATGTGCTGTTTGCTGTCTACGGGTCTGATTCTGCTGACCACGACCCCCTGCAGGAGAGGGGAGACGTGCTCTGATCAGCTGCTGGGCTGTTAGAAGAGGGGGAGAAAAAGAGATCTCCGTCCTCCGTGTTTTATTATATAGAGTCGTTATTCATTTGTTTTAAAGCTCAATAAATAACAAAGAAGACCTTTGACCGGCACTTTTCTATTTTTGTCCGGAAGATTTAAACTTTAACGGACATCTTGACCGGCGAAACAAACTGAAACTGAAACTCTGCCGCACGGTCCCCTCATTCCTTGGAAGAGGCGGAGAGGTGGGTGTTTGTCATCTGCTGGTGGACTAACCGGGGAGAATTACAGTGCTTGCCTCGACGGGGAGGGATTGCATTGCAGTGGGAGCAAACGCTTGCCTCGGGGAGGGAGAAAGAAAGCCACAGCGGAGAATAAACAGAAGGGTAACCATGGTAACCAAGTCTTCTTCGCTGCTTTTGTGGCAGACTACAGCGCCACTTACAGGCCTGGCATATGTACTACAGCGTCTCCAGCGCTTTCGACTCCTGATTGGTGGAGTTGGCCCAATAGCCGTAGCGCCACCGTCCTGACGTCAGGAAAGTGTTCAAATCTGGATCAGTTTTTATCAGATCCGTTGCAGCCCCTTTTTTAGAGATTTGGGTATGGAGGAAAATAGAGAGGGTTGTGTTTTCTGACACTTGGTGAGTTCCCTGGAACACCGGGGACACATATTCATGTATAAAAGACGTACTAAAGTGCATTTTGCATGATAGGTCCCCTTTAAAGAACTCACCTATCTCATCTTAAAGGTCACCTATTATGCAAATCCACTTTGTCATGTCTTTTATACATAAACATGTGTCCCCTCTGTGTAAAGAGATTCTGAAAGTTTCAGGAAAAAAGATTCTCTCACTTTTTGTCCTGATCCATTTATATAAAAACCTGTCTGAAAATGAGCTGATCAGATTTTGGCCACTTAGTGATGTCATAACAATTGTTTGGCTTGTGTAACCATTAGCCAATAACCAACCAAGGTAACCCCCCCCCCCCCACACCTTATCACCTGAATCTCCTCCTAGAGCACCATTGTGTTCTTTTTAACCAAATATCTCCCAGAGGGGCGTGGGGAGTGGCCTTATTTTCATCTACAGTAACAGACAGAGAATCGGATTATTGTAGGGATCTTGCGAACTGAGGTGCAACACCTCTTGGACCCCTACCAGTTTGCGTATAGCGATGGTAGAGGTACAGATGATGCTCTGACCTCTACAACTCACTTTATTTTAAAACACCTGGAAAACCCTTCAGCTTATGCTAGATTAATGTTCATGGACTTTAGCTCGGCTTTTAATACTATTATTCCCCAAATTATGTTAAAAAAGCTCAAACAGATGGATGTGAATCCTTACTTAATCAGATGGTATCACTCCTTCCTAACTGAAAGACAGCAGCAGGTGAAAGTAAACTTGACCCTCTCTGACACACAGGTCATAAGCACAGGGGCACCACAAGGCTGCGTTAGCTCTCCTCTTCTCTTCACACACAAATGAGTGTAGGAGTCAGCACACACACAACCACATTATAAAGTTTTCTGATGACACAGCCATACTTAGTCTACTGACTAGAGACTCAGACATTTCTATTTACTGTATAAACTTGAGATTGAAGAGGTCGTGAAGTGGTGTGAGGCGCACAACCTGGTGTTAAATGTTAAAAAAACAAAGGAAATGATCTTTGACCCCAAGTCAGTAGGTGATCACAGCCCAGTCCTTATCAACAGGGAGGGAGTTGAGCAGGTTACAAGTTTTAAATATTTAGGGATTTATTTTGATGCTCAGTTAGGCTGGGCCCATCAGGTCGATCAGGTATGCTCAAAAATAAGCCAGCGCCTGCATTTTCTGCGTAGGCTCAGGGTTCATGGAGTGGATAAATGTATCACGTTAATGTTCTACAGGGCAGCAATTGAGTCTATTATTCGTTATGGCATCACAACATGGTTTGGTAACTTGTCAGTTAAATCTAAATCACAACTCCAGAGCTTGATAAAAAGGGCTGGAAAAATAATTGGCATGCTTCCACCATCCTCTCTTCAGGAGATATTTGAGGAGATGGTGAGAAAGCAAGGCCGTAAAATCACATGCGACCCCAAACACATCCTGTATAGAGAGTTTGAGTTGCTGCAGAAGGTATAGATTACCAAACTGTAAATTGAACAGGTATAAGTTTTCCTTTATTCCACTGTCAATCAAGCTGCTGAACAGTCAGAAACAATTGTGATTATGCTGTGTTAGGAGTTGTTGGGAGGTAAAATGTTTACAGTGTAGTATGTGCAATCGAGAAGGTTAAATAGGGAAAGTGCAATATGTGTAAATAGGTATGGATACAATAGGGATATGTGCAATTTGACGGACACTATGCATAGGTGCAATAGGGAAAGTGCAATATTTGATTTGTGTATGAATGCAGTAGGGAAGGTGCAATATATTGTATTTATGTATAAATACAATAGGGAAAGTGCAATATTTGATTTATGTATGTGCAATAGGGATATGTGCAATAGGGAAAGTTCTGTACCTGTATGTTTCTTGTTTGTTTCTTTGCCATGTGATATGTGATCTCTGTTCTGTATCTATGACTGATTGTTCTAAATGTTTTATGTTTATTATCTCGATGCCCAAGACAAATTTCTCCTAAGGGAGACAATAAAGCTCTATCTATAAATCAGCACTTTTGAAACAGGGCTGAAATAGAGGGGATTATGGGATGCTACAATGGGTGATCTGTTTGGTATTTCAGCCACTTCAGAGACATGTTTTATCTGAGACCTATAATATATTGATGGAAAAGAGTATAATAGGGGACCTTTTAATCAAGTCATGCTTTCTGGGGGTTTTTCAATGTATTTTTCAGAGATTTGCACTTTAACGTCAAGCAAGAAATAATTTAAAAGACAGTGTTCAATAAAAGTTTATTGAGTTTTTTAATGATGAAAACGCACATGTTAAAACAGCATACATCGTGCCCACCACCAATCACATGACTTATAAAGTAATACAAATACAAGATATAATTGGTTATAAACTTTTAAACCAGAATCACATGACTCAAGTTTTCAGTTAACCAAAACCTTTCATACAATTTCAACTTTGAAAAGAGAAAAAACATTTTTCACTTGGTGGATAAATACAAAAGGTAAAATAATGAGCATAACTTAAGAATTGCACTTTCACCATAAAAAAAACCCCAGACATTTCATTCAAGGTTAAATAAGTTCACGACTAAGGTTTTGTTCCAAACCAATACATGTCATACAAGCTGTGGTCTACCACTTGTGACCATCTCGCATGGCAAAATACTCCTATATTCTTTTTTTACTGTTAAAACAGATGGAAGACTAAAGATCAGGTCATCACAGAACCTCTTATACAGTAGAGTCTACACAGGGAATTTTGCTTGAGTAATTTTGCTTTAATTTCAGGGTTAAGTTTAACCCAGAAAAGAACATTTATGATACCCACTTAAAATAATAACAAACTAAACTCATATGTCTTAACGAATCTGAGGATCAATTTATTACACCTAAAACATTGCAAAAAGTTATAATATGCTAATACTAATTTATCTAAAAGCTTTGAATGGTCTACATCAGTGTCCCAACACCAAATATATATATTTAAAATGTATCTCTGTAAGGACATAACGGTAGGCCAATCAGATGGACAGAGGGGCGGGTTATGCATTTGTCAGACATGTTTAGCTTAGCTTAGCGCAAAGACTGAATGCAAGGTACAGACCCAGCTATAAGTCAAGGAACGATATTCATTCTATGAAACTCTTAATATTGCCTTATTTACATGTTGTGTATTGTTAGCTAGCTGGCTAACTACCAGTATAGTAATAAATCAACTATGTTTTATTTGGGGAAAGCTGACAGCTATAATGACAAGATTTCAAAAAATGCTGCATCACTGCTGCAAGGTTTGTTAGCTCTGATGCTTAAGAGAACCATTTGTCAGGCCACAATGTTTTATTTTATTCTGCCCGTATTGAATACAGATGATACAATAAGTACTTTTTGTCATTTTTGATTTTTCTAGCCTTGCATTTCCCCCTGCGTCATGTCTTTGAGCTAAGCTAGCTAGGCTAAACACATTTTGAATGCTTCTCTATAGAACACAGAGAGATTAAACTGCATCCTCCCAGTAGGAACAACACATTATTCCTTAAGGAACTGGTCACAGCAGGCAACATATCAATACATTTGACAAAGTAAAGTTTACATGTGTAGCAAACACTTAACAAGTGCTATGAAGTAATGAATAAACAGAACCACAACTAATTACACTCAAATAAAAAGTGGATTTACTACCCATCACCATAAAATACTTATTTAAAAGTCCTCAGTACAAACGTCCTTTATAAGATCTGACATGGAAATTCTATGAGAAATTATCTTGTTCTTCCAAGAGAATAATCCTGTTCATGTAATCACAGGCAATTTGGAATACTGTATACAGCACTGAACTACAAACTGTGGTTCAGGGCTCCCTTAATATTACAATATTACATAAAACATTATTTTATGGCACTTTTTCTACCCAGCCTTATAAAACAATAGTTGACCCTTAGACGGTCAAAAAAGCCAATTGTTTATCATAATAAAAAATATTCTCATAGAATTGTACATTTAAATCTCCACGGACACACTAACTGAGGACAACTTGTTACTCTAATGTAACAAACAATGGAAGTTTCACAGAAACCAAACTTATGGGAATCTAACGTTTCTGTGCGGGTTACAAAAAATACCTGATTGCAAGTCAGGCATTTTTACCACACACAAAACTCCAGATGCTTTACCTAAATGGCCAAAACTCAAGTTTAGAGAGAAATTAAACTCTCCATTTGAATTCAAGCCTGAACCAACTCAGAACATTACTGTCGGGTCTCCGTAAAGCCCTGCCGGGCCGAACTACCAGGGAGTCATCCAATTCGAGATTGAAAACTCAGGCTCCCCTGAGAAAGAGAAGGAAAAATAATGTTAGTCATCAAAAGTCTGTATCAAATGTAAAATGAGTGTCTGCATAAGTGTATCAAGATTATGGTGTCCGACAGGTTCAAACAAAATGCTGCAAATACCAAACGCTGCAAGAAGCTCGAAACACAACGGAAACGGGGACACTAAAAAGCGATGCACACAGCTGGGACTGGATTTTAAAGTTGGCCAACTTTCAATGTCACTGTTGTATTGGCTTATTTTAACAATGTGATCACATGATTCATTCTCAATATTATTGCAGATCTGCTGTAATCTAGCTACCTAACCTAGTCATTTTGAATATACTGACAAAACGCTTACAGTTATGAAACAGCGTTTGTGTTTACAGCAGTTGTGTTTGGTGAATGTTGCCTAAATGCTGCGCATGTTTTGTCAAGTTGGCATTTAGCACATTTGTGTTTTTATATTTCTGTTCAGTCTCCTAATGGAAATGTTTTGGGCCGTTGTAGCGTTTATGCACCTGTCGGCCACCGTAGATACATAAATAAGCGCAATACACATTCATCTAAACAAAATACCTAATATGAGAGTACATTTTATTGGTACACAAAGTCTAAGTTTGTTTTTGCCATTTAATGCAATATAGGGTTTCACATAAATATATTTGGAAAGTGTTCAATTGTTTGGCGGTCAGTATTGAACAATTTGGAGGTTTTTAGTCATATTATTCATTAAAATGATTTTATGAAAGCCAGCTGATCAAGCATTATAACATTTGCTTATTTCAATTTTAGAACAACAAAATTATGTTTATTTCAGTTTTTACGAAGAATAAAAGCATAATTTGGTTGAAAAAATGCATATATCACCTTTAAGTAAGCTAAACCATTGCTGGTGCATTAGCTTCAAATGGGCTAATATTTTCAAGTGCTACATGTAATTTATTTTGGCGTCAATGGCCAAGGTCCCAGAGAAACAGGTAGGTTTTCAGTCTAGAAACGGAAGATGTGTAGCTTTTCTGTTGTCCTGATATTAATAGGCAGCTCATTCCACCATAATTATCATTCCGCTCAAGGTAAATTGTAGTCTTAGTAAAAAGTCATGAGGCGGTTGACTTGTAGCCTCCCTTTTATCCTCTCCTATTGTTATCAAGAATCTGAACTTAGTGTTCCACTGGAGAAAAGACATTTCTTTCCCTAAAAGGCATGCTGCTGGCTCTGCGGTGACAGCAAGTACATTTAAAAATAGACCAGTCAAGCAAACTTAAGTAAAATGGCCACAGCCTTTTTGACGACTCATCTTCATGAAGCAAATTACTGTTTGACACGCCATAAGCATACCAGAATACTCACTCACAGTACTCTACAACAACATTGGAACAGAGAGGAACAAGGCCTCAGGGTGTGAGTCCATCTTTACGAATAAATGACTTTAAAGGTCTATTCAATACTTCTTAAATAAAAAAATAGCACTACTTATGCCTCCCTCCTAAAATTTCAGAAATGTTTGGACGTTTATCAATAGAGCCGAAGTACATTTGTTAACCAAGTTTAGCATTGTCGTTGACTCATTATTAGTTCAAGCTCTTAAGATGTGCTGCCCTGCCAAAAAGCTCAACCACAAACAAGGAACATCCGTGCTTAGTGTCTACAGCACTGTTTGTTCAGTGTGTGTGTCTCCGGCTGTGTGGGAGGGGGTCTGAACTAGGGATGTTAAGATTCACCGATTCACATCGGTGCACCGGCATAAACGTTCAAAATGCAAGTGCACACCGGTTGAAAGAGTGCACATCGGCTACAGTTTGGGTTGAACTCGCGTTGCATCGATTGTAGCGTCTTTGCATCGGTAAAAAAACGATTCATTCATATAATATCCTCTCATCCTGTCAGCACTCAGCAGAGACGATCTTTGCTTCGCCACTACGGAGGCCGAGAGTCTCGGTTATCAACAAACATGGAAGTCGAGGAGAAAGAGAAACACAGCGCACCGAAAAATACCTACAAATCAAACGTGGTTTGGCAACACTTCGGATTTTTCAAGAAAGACGGACAACTTGAAAAATCGCTCTCAAATTGTAAACGATGCCGTGCCGCTTTAAAGTACACAAGTAGTACGAGGAACTTAGCGACGCACATAAAGAGTCTGGGGTCTGCAGCTGAAAAGAAAAACCTGAAAGTAAGACATGAGTTCAATCACTCAGTGAGTTGTTATGTCAGTGAGAGTGGTGTTTAGTATACAGCAGACTGTGACTGCCAATAATAGTTTAAATGTCTTCCTTACAATTGTAAGCAGTTATGAAATGCCTGTTTGTGAAAGGTTATTTGTATTTTTTATTGTTCATATAGAAACCACACCACTGCTTTCTGCTCACTGGTGAGTTAGCCTATGAGTGTTAAGCACATCAGGCTGGCAGTTGTATGGGCATTGCACTATGGTAGTTGTTATTTGCACATTGTTAATCATGGGTAATGCATTCTTACATTGTTTAACTGTGAGGTGTTGTAAAATTGTACTTTACTCTGGAGACAGAGAACACTACTACACTTGTGAAAAGGCCAGTTTGTGAAAGGTCCAAGTGTTTTTTTTTTTAAGGTAAAAAAGCAACAGCATGATGGGATGTGCAGTACTAGTAGAGAGAAGCAAATATGTAAAGCACTTTTTTGTTAATTTATAATTTGCTGCATATAAGGAATAAAACAAAATCCTCTGTCGTACCATATTGAATTGTATCATTATTTTGCCTCGTGTTGAATCGTATCGCCCCGAATCGCATAATGTTGAATCAAATCGTATCGAACTGTATCGCAACAGGGGTGAATGGTATCGTATCGCATCGCCTGGTGTTTCAAAGGTATCGTTAATGTATCGTAGGCAACGTATCGAGATGCGCATCGTATCGGCCTCAGTGATGGAGATGCACATCCCTAGTCTGAACTGCTTCTTAAAAACTTGATTAGTTTTCCCATAGCATGATCACGTGTCATTCACCATCATTTCCTACAAATTGAATTTTAATAGTGCTTTTAAGTTGTAACGAGCTGTTCTGAATGTCTTTTTTATTTTTATTCAAAGCTTATTTTGTCTCTTAGACTACCCCGTTAATAGAAGTGTGTGCATGTCTTTGTGAGCGGCAAACGGAGAATCGGGATTGATAAAGTTGGCCAACTGTCATTGTTGTTGGCAAGTTTCCTAAAGTGTATGTTTTATCAGCTTATTTTAACTATGTGAGAGCATGTGTTGTCGAGTTTGTGAAGATGTTTCTTAATTTGCATGTGTTTCAGCACATTTTCTTTCTTTATATTTGAATAGTTTTCTGAATCTGCAGCCCGTTTCCCTAATGGAAATGTTTCTGGCCTTTGTAGCCCATTTGCACTTGTCGGCCACCGTACTAAACACCAACGAAATATGGAGTGAGGCAGAATATTTTGTTAGATAAAACCATTAATGGAGCGAAGCCTGCGAGCTAGTTCAGGCAGTCAACTCGAGCACTTACGCTGCATTCATACATAACGCCCCTTGCCACTCTACAACCAACCAAACAGAGTCTCCTTAATATGCCGCTCTATTTAACCTGCCAGATCTCTCTCCATGCATTGCTTGCTGCTGCTGCTGCGTTCGTGCCCTGCTATTGCGTTCACATTGCTACTGCTGTGTTTCATGCTGCTGCTGCTTGCCTGCCCCACCACCACCCCAGCTTCCACCTGTAGGCTCGGGGTTAGTTATTTAATCATCACTCATCGTGCTATGTATATCTGTGGAGTGATGATGCCCGAGCCTAGTCACCAAACTCAACTATATGCTGCTTCTAATAAACATGTTAAAGAGATACGTGAGTTGTCTGACTGAAATGGTTTTCACAACATTCTTTAAAAAAAAAATTGATTTTAGATTTACAGTATAAAACTAATGTTAGTGTGGCCTAGTCTTTATCTGCAGCTGTGTAGAAATCCCAGCTTTAATCACAATTAATATACATGCAAAAAATAGAAGCTAATGAAAGAGACCATAATGGTATCTAACAGAGAGTGTCCTACCATGGTATGAAGGTAGCTGCACATCTGCAGCAGACACTCCAGCGTCTCCATCATCTGCTCCTGCTGCAGCATTTGGAGTCTGCTTTGACTCGGGGTCATGCTGCTATTTAGCTGACGTACGGTGGCCTTCAGAGCCACAGAAGCGCACTGGATGACGCTCATTTCTGAGAACACACACACACACACACACACACATTAATATATTTTTTAGACTACATCCACTCAAACAGTATTCAACTTTAACATCTAAACATTCCTAAACCTATCTGTAAAATGGTAACGGACAAGAAGAATTATATTAACTTATTCTGACTTTTGGTTGAGCTTCTTAGTCGGTTGCGCAGGATTTATTTTTATTTTGGTTGAGTCAACTATTTAACTTAACACAGATGCTGAATGCCTGATACTACAGCTTTCATGCCATATATTGCCAATTAAGTGATAGCATGCATTATCGTCAGTATGTGACAACAAAGTGGGTTTTGGAAAGAATTGGAAAGGTGACAGTATTTACCGTAGTAATCAGTGGCTTCGACGTCGACATACACACCATCCATCATTGTGTGTTTTAGAACCTATAAGGAAAACATAAACACTAGTTCAGGATAGAAGTTCACACACACAATGTACTTTACTTGAATATTTACATTTTCAGCTGCTTTATACTTCTACTCAAGACGGAAATATTGTTTTATTATGTAAGAGAAGCACTTTAATTTCAATTTTTTAATTCAATACTTTTACTTTAAATGAAGGATATTAAGACTATGGTTCTTCTACTGTTACTATATAATGATTGTGAAGACTTCCACCAAAGGATATCAGTGGTGTTGTTCACTAAGAGTGGATCTCAAGGAACGCACACCTGGCGTCTTCAGATGTCTGGAGGCGTCTGCCTAATACTGACAGTATGATTGCTGTTCAGTTACATCAGTCAAATCTGTTTTTTGTACAAGACATTATAAAAAAAATACCACTTCGTTTTTGACTTGGTGAGTCACCATAATACAAATACTGTGTGTTTGTTGACCCTTATAATGTTGTTCTGCTGTCTATCTGCGGAGAACACGCCTGTCTTGCCAAACAACATCTACAGTTTGCACTTAGAATATGCTATTTCATAAACACAGTTGGAAGAAAAAAAATCTATCTGTGTCTCTATTAGATTACCTTATTTGTGGCGGCCTGCCAGAATATTAAAGGGGCCCTATTATGATAATATTCAGATTCATATTTGTATTTTGTGCCTTTAGTGTGACATGTTTCCACGCTTTAATGTTAAAAAAATACTTTAGTTTTTCCCACAGATGAGACGCCAGGAAATGTTAACAATAAGCGTTATTATACCACGATCATACCACAAATAAAATCTAGTTCTGTGAAAAACAGTGTGACAGCAAGTCATTCATTTCTCATGGGTGCAGCCAAAGAGCAACTTGGCTGCACCCATGAGAAATGAATGACTTGCTGTACAATGTGTTTAACAGAACCGGCTCTGTTGCTTTTTGTCACATTTGTTCCTCTTATCAGTTGACAGATATACTACCTTGTGCACAAATAAAAACCTTCCTGTCATAAAAGCCTAAAACAAAGACCTGAATAACTTGTTTGACTCAAAGTAACCTACGTCTGAAATACTTTGTGTCTCATGACAAACAGAGGAAACCCCATCATTACCACAGTTTAAGAGGGCATTCTCTTTCTCATTTTCAGGTTCATAATTATATTTTTTTCTCTACTGTGACATGTTTCCATGCTTTAATGTTCAAAAAGGTCTTTATTTTTCTCATACTGCCTGTGCTGCAGTCCAGTCTGCTCTGATTGGTTAGCTGGCCGGCTCGGTTGTGATTGAGCAACCACTAGAGATGTCCCGCACTTTAGCTTATCACGTAAGACTTCCTTATTCATGCGAATGGACAACCATTCAAGCCTCTCTACAATTATGGTGGGAATTTTGGGATTATAGCCTTTGCAGACCATTAACATGCACAAAGAAATATACAACTCACAACAGGAAAGGGAAAACCACAAAAAGCTTAATAGGTCCTCTTTAGAGATGAAGGCATGCTCTCACCTCCAGGACTCTGATGTAGCCTTTCTCAGCACTGAGGTGCAGGCAGGTCTTTCCTAGGTTGTTGGTCTCATTAACGTTGGCCCCGAGACAGATCAGATCTGCCACCATCAGGTGCTGGTTGTGCTTTGCTGCATGGAGCAGGGCGGTCTATGAACAGAGAGTTACAAACATTAATGAGAGAATGTGACTTTCTTGCTAATTGGACATAAATAATTGAGTATACAATATGATCCAATCAATCTTAACAACCCACCTGTGGCATAGATTATTTTAGAAGCAGAGTGTGTTGATTTGCATTGCAGAAGGTGGAGAAGGTATTTATGTCATTATTCTTTTAGCACATTAGTTCTTAAAACCTTAATCTTAAACATGTATTTTACAGAAAGTATAAGCATAAAAGTTCTGATTGTCCAGAATTTGTTATGTATGTTATGTAATACAATACAGACAGTTAGGCGAATCTTGCACCCCTTGATATTTGTTTATGTTTTTTTTGCATTAACAAGAGATCTAAATCTTATAGTTTAAATAGCGTACCATTCCATCAGAGTCTTTGAGGTCCAGGCTGTTGAGCGCAGCCATCCTCTTTGCGATAGCGTAGCCTAGCGCCCTCTTCCCGATGCATACCACTTTATGGAGGGCTCTGAAAGAAACATCAGATATTCAAAAAATGACTTCACACTATCAGTATTTCCTGACACCAAAAGGCAGTCTTGTAAAAGGGTAACAGGTCTGAACCTGGGTTATATAGCATGTGGTTAGCGGAGGTATTTGGAAAAGCAGTTTTTGCTTCTAATTACAAGAAGCCTGCGGCCTTCAGCGAGATCAACAAGCTGAACAACAACAGGTCTTTTTTCACAGCAGACCTTTTGACTTGGCAAAGAAGAAAACAAGGATGGGTGTAACAACTGTATTAACAATGTGACCAAGTGTCACTTAAGGTATATAAGGTGTGACATTTAGCAAACATGCACACTGCCAGGAAGTGAAGCAGCTAAATAGAAGTGAGCCATCATCATTCTCAATAATGAATACTGTTTTATCTTTAAAGAGCAAACTAGGATCAGCTTTTCATTATTAAGATGCCACACAGGCATAAAACCTGTGCACTACCAATGGATAAAACACATTGAAAATGTTGACAGCATGTGGTCTATTAGCCCAGTTTCTTCTGTGCCTTGGGTTTTTTTTTTTTTTTTTTTTTTTGTCTTATTTTTCAAATGTCACAATTGTAACTAAATGTAACTTGACTATTAAAGTACCGCAATGTAAATTACGTTGAGTTGTTATTATTTAAAAATATTGCCCCTACTTAAGTAAGTTATCTGCTGGTCTAACAATGGACATTTGTATCGACAATTGATGCTGGGATTTTCATTTTCACCGCCAACTCAACTGCATCAGATGATAAAGATGGCGCATGATGGCTGACTGGGTGTTGTAGTTTAGATTGTAAACAATGCAATGTGTTCCTTTAACACAGAAGTGCTCATTTGATCCCTTTTTCTAAGAATTTTTTCCAAATAATTCCTCTTTTTGTGTTCAACACCAATTATTCGTATGTGTAAACCAACTTGGCAATAAACCCAACTCTGATGCTGATTTCCAAATACATTTACAGCCACTAAACTTACGTCCTGCCGTGTTCATCGGGAGCCAGCAGTACGGCGTTTGAGACATCCATGAGCTGGCTTTCCTCTTTCTTAAGCTGAGCCAGGAAGTAAGAGGAGTTGTTCAGGTTCCAGTCGTGGTTCTGGGGGTCGACACACTCCCCTCTTCTTCCAAAGTTTCCCATGCTGAAAGGCTGGAGGCTGGTGTGCATGACGCCATCAGGGGACAAGGTCTGCTGGTAGTCCATTGGGAGGGGGGAGTAGCTCATGTAGGACTGGGGGCTGGGGATCATCTCATCAGAATCATCACTGTTATAGCCTGGGGAATGGTGAGAGGATGTGGCATGTAAGGGCTGGTAATAGATGCAGTTATTATTCGACTTAGTTGAATACTCAATGCTGATTGGTCAACTTTAATCATTCGGAGGTCTGCTATTTTTCGCTAGACTGTTGCTAAGGAGGATTAAGTGACTATGTACAGTCATATCAATCCACAAAGAGAAGTCGGGTCAATTTAAAATACATTTGTTTCCTCCGTCAGAAACACCTTGGAATTCTTCTCTATATTATTTTGTATTTGTGGAGAGCACAAACCTTTGGATTCATGGTTTAACTATCCCGCAGACGAAAAGAAGGGAAAAAGAGCGCAAGAGAAGGAAAGAGGTTAAATGACAGAGTGCTGGACGTCAGAGAAATCAACAGAAGAAGGTAAACACTAAAGGGAATGGCAGAAGAAGACATACAGGAAGTAAACACTAACAGGAACACTATGGGCTCTGGCAGTGTTTGAAGACGGGTTAATGGAAAAGAAAATGTGAACAGACTTGAACAGTTGCAGAAAAAGCTTGATCAGTTCTGCCGTCATTTTATTTTATGTTCTTGTGCCGCAGCAGAATGGACTACTTCTTCATAGCGAAATAGTATGATCATTTTAAAATCAATAAAAGTAATTAGAAAATCAATATTGTAAGTAGCAGGGTAATAATAGCATATTTACCAAGGTTTCCATGACTTACCAGTTGGAGAGGACATAAGAGGTGGCGGAGAGTGGCAGATGCTGCCAGTCCTGAGGTCCTCCTCCAGCACCTCCACGATAATTGCCAGCTCCTCCAGGCTCTGTGTGGAGCCTTTTCTCTGCGAGCCAAAGTGGTATGCAGAGTTATATAAACGGCTTCTTAAAACTGACACGTGATTTACAGCTTTCCATAAACCTGCTTCGTACACTCAACACTCACCTTGGCGGATCGGCGTCCCCTGCGAGTTTTGACTCGTTGCTTGCCTCCTGTTGAAGAAAATGTCAAGTTCAGGGTTGAGAGGACTTTATAGTGTTTCCCATCAAAATCCCAGAAGAGTGGAATATATTTGGCCTACCAAAGGTTTTTGTTCCTTCCTGTTGGTTTATTAGCCAAACAACCTATCCATACAGAATATACACATTTTGGTTTATACGTTCATAATTCCAGAGTTGATTTGATGTTTTTACTTTTTAATCAAATCTGTACTGTCCTATTAAACCAAGATTAAAAAATATATATTTAATATATATTTAAGTTAGACACCAAATGTTGTTTTGGCCCCTGAAGAATTTATTCCCCTCAAATGATTTCAATTTAAAATTGTTTTCCAGTCCAGAAACGTGTAAGTTCCCTTTAGTCATCATTGAACCCCAACGGAGCTATGTGGCTTTATATGTTGAGATTTCTGTTTTCCTTTGAGCCCTTGCAACTTCTCACGGTTAGATTGAAGACGTTTAACCTGTCATTTGGCAGGTTATGATGTAATCAGCTGCTATTTAAATAGTGCTAACCCTCCAACTTCTACTCCTATTGTGAATTTCAGCTTATTAAAAGCATTTTGGTGAACTTGGCACTGAAACTGGAAGCTGTTCCTATTCAAATCTGCACACATTTTGAGGCTTAAGCTTCCAGTTATTTAGCAATGACCAGCGATTTCAGTTTTTTCTAATTTAAATGTTACTCATAAGTATTTTTGGGAGAGAAACTCCCTCTGGAGGAAACTTTGGGATTTTAGCCTTTGCAGACCATTTACATGCACACAAACGTATAACACACATTAAGATCATTCAGACACATTTGCTCTCAGACATCTCACTGTACCAAATCAAGCAATTTGCTAGCAGTGTAGATAAAGAAGGAACAACAAATCCCAACACCACACCTACAGTACATTACTAACTTTAATAGATCTGGTTTTTACTGACCTTTGACTGTGTTGCTGTATATCTCCTGTGTTCACATCAAAAGAAACAACAACAGTAGCATCAGTGGTAGTTTTATGATTCAGATTTTTGAGACACAAACATAGGAGTTCCCTGCTGACAGGTATAAAAGTACCGATTTTTAATAGGCACAACGACATTGCCTGAGGTCAGGAGTCAGTGGTTTGTTAACATCTCAAGTTATATCACTCAGCATATTTAAGCAGATAAAAAAACTGTACTGTCGCTTATCATGTATATATATGTATATAGTTTCAATCACGAAAAGGCACATTTTATAATCCAAATAAAAATGTTTGATAAATAAATCAAAAACATTCATAAGCCCATGTCTTCTGTGTATCAAATCACTTTAAACCCAAAGTTCAAACGGCTGATTTGTAAGAATTGAAAATTATTTTTTCTTTTAACATTTAGATTGTTGTTGTTAAAATCAGCCAATGTCTTCTCATATTTCAGTACTATTTTTTCTATGTTTCCAGATAAACTCTGATTTGTCATTTATTTTCATACTGACAATGGGCAATTTGTCAGCTTTTATATCCCCTTACTGTTTGTGTGAACCTGCTTAGAGAGCCAGAAGACAGAATGTTGACCTCTCATCGCGCAAATGTTGACTTCTCTGAAGGAGTTGTTTCAAAAAAAGAGAGACGGACAGAAAGAGGGACAACATATTTGGCTATAATGCTCATCAGAAGTAATAGGAACCATATCCAAAAAGGCCACTTAAACATATCAAAAACTTCTACAAATATGGGTTATTTTTGAGCCCATGTAACTTTTGTATCTCTTTACACTTTATGTATATAAGACCTGCAGCAAATAATCAAGAAAGCAACTTTAAAATGCATTACAGAATGAAATGAAGCTCAGCGCAAGTTCTTTCAGGAAGACTGGTATACATTCATTCCGCAGCTGCTTATAAATCAGCTCATCACAGGCTTTCTTTTTAACCTATTACATTTCACCTCAATCTCCAGCAGCCAATCATCGTGCTGCAGCCACATTTTAAAAATGATTCTCCTCTCTCCTGCAGTCAGCTGTGATTTCAGGTGTTCATGCTGCCGACCACCTCCTCCCCATATACCTCCTTTCATCATATCCAGTGCCAGGAGAGCTAATCCAAAGACCTCATCACACCTCCTCTTCAAATCCAGATCTTCAGCATCATCACCAGTGTCTAGACCCCGGGGGGTTCCCTATATGCTCACGGCTGCATTTCCCCCTTTAGATATACAATTTCAGGATCGGGGTCTAATCGCCAAAGACTTAACATTTATCATATGGCATGTGTCAATAAAGGTTCTTTAAACAAAATGAAGTCTCTCCTGATTGAAATTATATTTTAGTATTAATGATTGTCTAAATGTTTACTGAAAATCCCTATCTTGATGAATATCTTAACCAATATCAGTTTTTATTTGTTTCACTGAGCTAAGTACACCTGGGCAAAACAAAAAATTACCTGCAAGTCTTTATCTTCCCAGCCTTGGTCTATGCGGATTTTTTTCAGTAGATCCCTTACTGGCATTTTGACACGGACCCCAAGGTAGACCTTGTCACCATCATAACTGGAACATTTTTCACCTGTTAAGGTAACAATGGATGATTAATTGCAGGATCCAACTATACATAATTGACAGACGAACATATTTAACACTTACATTGGAGGTCATTATCAGACTATACACATGTGTAGCATTTAGATCAGCAGTAGTTATCTTGCTGTCAAAAAGATCATTATTAATATGAAACACACACTCTTTAAATACACTGTTTTCTCTGACTTGAGAGTAAACATAACAGATTTTGATTGAACAAGCTTTAACTGCTTCAAATAGCTCTGATAGTACAATGTCATGTGGCACTGCCCAGCACATCTTTTTTTCCTCCGCCTGTATCTTTACTGTCAGTTACCAAAAATGGCAAAAGCAGTCAGATACCTCAAAGCCAACAGCTTTCCATCTGTGGTGGAAAGTAACTAATATTAAGTTAAGTTTATACTTGAGTAGAATGTTGAGGCTTGTAGCCTACAAACTTGAGTATTTCCATGTTATGCAATTTGATTGACTAAAAGATGTTGTGAAAATGTATACAACTTTAGACTACTTGACAGGTTGTTACTTTACAGCAGAGGTGGAACAAGTACTGAGATGTTGTACTTAAGTAAAAGTACAAAGGTATTAGCAACAAAATATACTTTAAAAAGTACCAAAAGTTAAATGAATAATTATGCGTATTTGTTATAATTATTGATGCATTCATGTGTTTATCACAGCTGGTAAAGGTGCAGCTTATTAATGACTTTTTATACTGCAGGGTAGCTTATGAATTTACTCCAGGTGTAACTAAAGTCTTATCTCAAGTAAAGTAAAAGTCTCTAAAAATTGAAGTCAAGAACAGTACTTGAGTAAATGTACTTAGTTACTTTACACCCCTGCTTTACAGTTGATACATTTACATATTTCATACACTCAGTTGGCAGTTCATGCATCCTCACTTCATGAAGGTAATGACTGAATGTTCAGTATATGTTTTAATTGCTTTTAGACTAAAAACCTACCATTTAATGCCTCTCTAAAGTTGAGAATTAAAGGCGTTGTTGTACATAGCATACCGTTTAGGAATAGGTCTACTGAGTTTAACAACAAGTTAAAACCGGCTTACACTGAAACTGAACGAGTAAAGTTGTTTATTGAATAAGTTGTTCTACCTTTTCGTTTACCGCCCACATCCTGGAAAGTCCCGCCGTGAACAGGTGAGTCTGGCTCGGGTAAGCCCGCCGCGGTTTCCCCTGGCCGAGGAGAGAGCCCTGCCCCAATGTCGGCTGTTTCATAACCTCTTTCTTCGAGCTCCTCTAGTTTGCACCGTCCTCCCATGTTGTACAACTACTGAAAATTAAATTAAAAAGTCAGAAAACGTTATTGAGCTCAATGTAGGCTACGTTCAAAATACACATTAAAAAACCTACCCAATTCCTGTGGCTGGGCGAAGCTCGAACCGCTCACCGAGTTGACTGCACCTGTTTGTCAGGTAGACGCTCAGTCTGCCATAATATAGGATGACGACCACGCCCACTGCCTGGGGGAAACATGCGCTCCATTCCCACGCGACCTGTCAGAATCAGTTGGACATGTAGCTGCATAGGTCTGTTAAATGGAATCCTTGCGTCCCTCACTTGCGTCATTTCCCTGCGTTTAGTCCCTCCCGCCAGGGAAGCATGGAGAGACCAGTCTATGGGAGAGACGCAAGGAAACCACGAGAAGTGAGAAATGAGTTTTAAGAGCAATGGGACGTCCTTTCCTCCGGAGCGTCACGTGAAGCGACGTCCGTTTGTGATGACCCCGTTGTTTTCACAAACACCCCTGCCTCTGTTAGTACACATTTACTGACATAAACATTTGTATCATCTGTTGTAGACCCAAATACATTAAATACTCATTCTCAAAAAAGATAAACGCCATTCTTAAAATGTATAAACGAACAATAGTGTAATTATTAATAATTTAATTAATATTGATTAGAGTGCACAATAGAAATAAAATAATTCAGAGAAGAAAAAGAGATATGTTATCTATCAAAACCCAGTTAAATTAACATTCATTGGACTGCACACTTTGTTTGTGTAGATATGTAGCAAATTAACATGTTAAATAGTACTTAAAGGTGGGGTAGGTAATTTTGGAGAAACCAGCTCGAGATCGCTAGAATTTGAAAATACACAACCGGAAAAAATCTGCCACTTCCTTACAGAGCCCCTCCTCCAACACACACGAACGCGCACATGACCAATGAGGGCACGAGATAAGTCTGTGCACAGATGGAAGGCTGACAGGCAGGTAGGCCATCCAGTTATTTTAGCCGGGCCGGCTAAAATGATTGGTCATGCTTTTTACAGCACTACAGCTTCCACAGATTACATTTTTTTATGGATTTTTTGTCAAAGCACTTAAAGGAGAGGTGTCATGCTTTTCCGGTTATTACCCGTCCCCTTGTGTGTTATGAAGGTTTTTATGCATGTAAACGGTGTGCAGAGTCAAAACCCTCAAAGTACACTCTGTAGCGAGTAAAACTCTAACACAGAAAATACCTCCCCAAAACGCCTCGTTGGAGATACGTCATTGTCCATTTGATTCTTCCGGGACGGCATGCTGTCAAGCCGTACCCAGAACGAAATGGACCAATCCGTGGAGCCGTTACGTTACGTCCGCGGAGCCGTTACGTTAAGCCCCCGCTGATTGGTCCAAATTGACCAATCCACAGACTTCCTCACACACACATCTGTGTGCAGGGAGCAGGCAGCTCAGCTGATTTATCCTCCCTGGCTGCAGGCTGATAACAGACATTTGGGATCGCGGCGAAATTCTCTCTGCAGACCCATTCTCACAGCGTTTATCAACCTTTTTCTTACTCAATATCAAGCCACACTTATTGTTTTTACTTCGGATGTGAGTTTGTGTGTGCTCAGGATGAGTTTGGCTGTGTTTCGCTATGTATCCTAAACAAGGAAACAACACCTCCACGGAGCTCAGCGCGATTCACAACGTCCTGACCAATCAGAGCACACTGTGCTCACAGGGAGGGTGGGGGCTGGAGCTTTGGGAGCTACAACGAGCCGTTAAAGGCAGAGAGTGAAATTCAGTGAATACAAGTAGTTTACAGAGATGCTGTATGCGAAACCAATGTGAGTTTGGAAAAATGCACAGTATAAATCTATTTTAGTAGACCTCAACAATGGAATTATGATCAGTGGAAATGGCCATGACACCTCTCCTTTAAGTACATTTAGCTGATAATACTTTTGTACTTTTACTTAAAGGTGGGGTAGGTAAGTTTCAGAAACCGGCTCGAGATACACTTTTTGTTATATTCCATGGAATGCTCTTAATATCCTGATAGCAATGAATATTCTAAGTGCTTTGAAAAAAAATCCATAAAAAAATGTCATCTGTGGAAGCCGTAATACTGTAAAAACTACGACCAATTATTTTAGCCGGGCCGGCTAAAATAATTGGATGGCCTACCTGCCTGTCAGCCTTCCATCTGTGCACAAACTTATCTCGTGCCCTCATTGGTCATGTGCGTGTTCGTGTGTGTTGGAGGAGGGGCTCTATAAGGAAGTGGGAGATTTTCTCCGGTTGTGTATTTTCAAATTCTAGCGATCTCGAGCCGGTTTCTCAAACTTACCTAACCTACCTTTAAGTAAGATTTTGAATGCAGGACTTTTACTTGTAATGACGTTTTTTGACACTAATGTATACTGGTACTTTTACTCAGTTAAAGCATCTGGATACTTCTCCCACCGTTGTTTATCTCCATCGCCATGGTGATCCAGTGGTAATCTTCTAACGTACAATGATCTGTGCCCTTTACAGTTTATCTTTATTTCTTCAACCTTTTTTCACTGCTGAGTAATCTGGAAATCCTGAATATATCTTTCGAACACATATTGTTGATTCTTTTGTCTGCCTCTGTGAAATGGCTGTTTTATAAGTTGATCAGGGACTGCAGTTTCTGACATGGTAGCTCCGACAGTTTGATGTCTGGGGATTGGCAAAGAGCCATTTGACAGAATGTTCTCAACACAGAGTATCACCTGTGTAAAACTATGCAGTAAAAGTCAAATGTTGCATTTCAAATAGTAAAACTCTGTCATTATCTGGTGATGCATCTGTTCAAAGTCCTTGTTGTAATACAGATACAAGAGACACAAATTGGCTGGGAAAATGCCATGAGTTCCAAACTGTTGATGGACTGCCTTGAATAATTCCATCCCTCCTCATGCTGAACTCCTTATGATAAGAATGTCACCTTAGGCTGTCACACTTGTGTCTCTCAGGTACACTCCAACAACTTCAGACTCAACATTTGCACGATCAGAGGTCAATATTTTGTCTTCTGGCTTTCTAAGTAGGTTCCCCAAACAGTAAGGGGCTTTAAAAGCTGATGAATTGCCCATTGTCAGCATCTTAAAAGGGAGTAAATGACAAATCAGAGTTGAAGAGTTTAACTGGAAACAGAGAAAAAATAGTCCCTCCGTAATTCACTTATTTCCCCACAGAATGAGCGGAATAATTCTGATAATAATAACCAAGTCCAATGCTTGGTTGAAATGACTGCCTCACCCCATCAGTCCGGTGGTCAGAAGGTTCCAGCCTGCCTGTGATTTATGCCCGACACCGTGCATTTACATGGAGCAGAGAAAACAGCGCTTCATCCAATTCAAAGCAAGTTGTCATTCCACTCACTGCGATTTTGCTTTTAGCGTCACACAAAAGATTTCCAACTCAATCAAGCATCACATATATATTTTTTTCAATGGGCCGCTGATTTACGCTCTGTCTTATTCATGTATAGTTTTTTAGATACATTTTCATTATATATTTTACAACTGATTTAGATGTATGAAAAAATGAGTCAAGATCAAGTAGAAAGTCCAAATATTTGGTAATATAATACATATTGCCATCAGTGTAATGTAACTAAGTCCATTTACTCAAGTACTGTTACAAAATGTAGGTATTTGCACATGTTGCTACTTTATACTCCATTACATTCTTTTGACTTATTAGGTATCTATCAGATTTAGGGTTATTAATACAAAATATGAATCGACACACATTGTAATATACTGTAGGTTAAGCTACCCAGTAGTGTGTAAAGCAGTTCAAGTCAACCCCACTTTAACCAAGTGCAACAGTGAAGCGATGAACACATTAATCATTTAACACATTTACTAAAATAATCAAACTTATCTGATGCTAGAAATGTTGCACAACAATTACTTAAAGTATTTTTTAAAGCGTATTACTTCGTTACTTTAGCTTGAGTATTTGTATTGCTACTTTTACTAAAGTAATTAATCTGAGTACTAAAATGTGTTCCTTTGCTACCCGATCAAATACAAAAAATGGTCTAGGTTTTGTTTGACTTATTAGCCAGTTCCAACCAACTCTTGACCAAAGAAAAGTTCAGATGAAAATGTCATCTATAGTCAATATCCCTTTTTATGACCAGTGTAGGATGTTTGGATATGCATGGGTCTCACATCAAGTGGGTAGTATTTATCTTTATTTTATTTGTAAAGCACCATTCATGCAAGGATGCAGCCCTAATGCAGTAATGCAGTAATATTACGAATACAAATTAATAAGATAAGTCTTTAATTTATTTTCTGCTTTTCTAAGATCCAAAGGTAGGCTGGGGTCACAGTTTAGGGCCACGAAAACAGAACGCAGCCTCGTCATATTTCTTGTGTGACACGTTAGGAACTTCAGAAGAAAAAGGCAGTGGAAGATCATAGTGTTCTTGTTTGGATGTAACATGATATTCAGTTGCTGATATATGAAGGTGCTACAATATTTAAGGCTTTGTAGATTAGTAAAATTAATCAGAGGCCCTATTATGCCTTTTTAGGTTTTCTCTTTCCTGCAGTGAGTAATATAGGTTTTGTGCATGTAAACGGTCTGCAAAGGCCCAAATCCCAAAGGCGCTTCCAAAGATGTTTCAGGACAGGATAGGACCCCTTTAAAATGAATTCTAAAAGATACGGGTCATCAGTGCAGTGATGACTTAATTTGATTGTTTTGTTTTGAAGATTTTAAAGACTTTTTAACGAGACCAGTAAAAAGAGAGTCACAATTATCACAGCAGCTTATAATAAAAGCATGTACAAGTACCATCGTTATGGGTTAAAATGTGTCTCTCCTTTTTGCAATGTTTCTCATGTACCCTATTTTTCAAGTCAGCAGAAAGTGAGTTTATATATATTTTTGACGTTTGGCTCTATAACCAGTGTGTTTCTAAGGACATATTTACAAAGTTTTAGTTGGCATCCATACTCTATATGAAAAACAAGCTGTAGTGTTATGGCTAATCTGAATGCTTCTTTACATTTTCAATCAATCATTTAACTATACTCCTAATTTGTAGATAATTAAAATACACATGCAACATGCTTCAGATGAACAATACTTTATATTAATTTGTCAGATATTATCCTCAGTAGTTTTCCACTGACACTGAAGCACTACAAAGGGCTAGCAGCTGTTTTCAATGCAGGGTTTAAAATATGTTGAACGGTTGCTTCGAGAGATATAATTTCTTTCTTGCGGGACAAAGGCAGAGCACTTTACATAGCTTACATGCTCAG